AAGTTGATTAAATGAAATTAAATTATTGCACTGAGAGCCAATGAAAAAAAAAAAGAAAGTAAAGAAATGTACGTTGGAGCCTCCGTAATTCTTGAGGCCTCAACGGAGACTCATGCTTGAACCTCCATAACATTACTTTATTAAAAAAAAAATTCATAAAAACATATTACATTATAAAAATTAATTTTAAAAATTATATTTGATAGATTATGTAATTTTGAAGCACAATCTAACATATTAAGATTAGAATCATTTCACGATAAAAATGAAATGGTAATAAAAACTTATTTTTCAAAAAATAAATATATTCATTTGTTAACATGTTTGGTCTTCATTTTTTAAAATTTATTTTTTTCAAACATATTTTCAATCATATATTTATGGAATTCATACTTTTGTTCTTGAATTAGTGTGGAGAAATAGAGAGGCATGACTGTAGCGTGTAAAAATGGAGAAACAGTAAAAAGGACTCTATGACATAATCCTTCACGCCGCGTAAATTGAGGAAAAGCAACAAAGTCACTATATTAAACACGTAAGATAAACAACGCCGTTGCTTTCTCTCAATAAAAAAAAGCTACAGTGAGACAAAATGGAAGAATCTACTGTTCTTTCTTCAATAGTGAAACATTGCCCTTTTTATATAGTAGTAATTATGAGTTTTTACTCTCTTGTGCTGCAAAATATACAATATCAATTCAATTTTTACAGTTTATTAGTTACAATTTCAATTCATCCAATTCTCAATTCTCACAATCTCACTATATTTATATTCTTCTAGTTAAGATTTCATCATAAACAATCAAACAAATGGATCAACGCTCATTTGTTGAGAGCTTGTTCGATACGGGATGTGGGCCACATCATGGCGAATCACCTAGGACGTCACATAGTCAATTTTCAAATGAATTTTTCCGTCTAAATGACCTACCAATACCTGAAGATGTTCACATTCACGGTCAGGGAAGCCACAATCCAATTGATTTGAATGATATTAACGTTCCGAAAACGAAACATGATGATGAAGATGTTGAATTAAACATCCCAGATG